GTGTGTGTGTGTGTGTGTGTGTGTGTGTGTGTGTGTGAGAGAGAGAGACAGAGACAGAGAGAGACAGAGACAGAGAGAAAGAGTGAGAGATAGAGATAGAGAAAGAGTCAGTGAGTGAGTGAGAGAGAGAGAGAGAGAGAGAGAGAGAGAGAGAGAGAGAGAGAGAGAGCAGTGATAACGCTCACTACGATTTGAGCGCATGGCAATAAAGATCTAATACTTGATCTCCTACTCAGCGGGGATTATCTTTTTTTCCTGGCGGGATTTAATCCCGATTATGCAACAAGGTATATGAACAAATTAAACGGATCAATTTTCCAATTATACAATATATATATATATATATATATATATATATATATCGCTATTGTTTTATTCCCGGCAGCATATCACTAAAGACAAAACGAGAACTTATCTTAGCCTACGTGTTTCTTCCTCTGAGGAACTTTATCAATGCAAATGTAAGGATTTTATTTTGCAACAAATGTTTATATACAAGTGCAAAACAGTTATTGTGTGGCAAGTATTTATAGACAAGAGCAAAAATTTTATTTAAAGCATATAACACATAAATCAATCACAATCGAAAATAATTTAAATACCAATCTATATATATATATATATATATATATATATATATATATATATATATATATATATAATAAAAAATTCACCCTACTCTCAATCGTTTATTAAGCATTGACTCAGCTCACGTCCATTAAATTGTCTGTGTTTTCTGCTAACCTAATGAATATTTAATTTATTATTATATTTTTTGCTCTTGCATGCTAACACTTGTCACAAAATATAATCCTTAAATTTGGTTTTGATAAACTCTCTCAGAGGAAGAAATGAATCGGATAAATAAGTTTCCTTTTGCCGTTATACATACATACATGCATATATATATATATATATATATATATATATATATATATATATATATATATATATATATAGTCGACTCTCCTGTCGAATTCGACGTATGAGGGTCAAGCAGATCAGTTCCAAGGAAACCGACATCTCGACAACAGCACATGAGATTTGATTATAGTGGTGAAGGTTTCGTGCAGGATCATCCACACTTTTTGAAGGGCCGAATACAGAGACCTGGTGCACTACGTGCCACAAGGTCCCCAAACGACACTCCGCAGGTTTTGATTTCAGAGTTGTCCTTCTTCTAGACCAGTTGCCATCCAAGGCTATAGAACTTGGTCTGTCCTGCTATTTACCCATAGCTGGGGGGAGGAGAAGAGGATTCACGCCTTTCCCAAGGGTATTATCACGTAAGTGAATGTAATGGATTCGACGGGAATTCGAACACGGCTCCCCGATTCCTCAATCCAAGTCGCTAATCTATATATATATTTGTGTATTTAGGCAGCAATCCTTCTTTCCTGCACATTTCATTGAATACGACAGACAAGGTGCTTTTATTTAGTTTTTTATACAATTTCTCATGCGATCTAATAATATTTTTCTTTTCGGATGATAAATAATATAAAAACTGTCCGAATATTCTTTTTTTTCCGAGCGCTTTCGGCTATACGTATGTATGTTTTATAAAATGTTTTCATTTTTCAAAACACGGTCCATGTTCAAAGTTAATATCATTAAGTGTTGTTTTTTTATGTCTTTATTAATAAGGCTTCCATTAATTTTAGTCTAAATAAAAGCACCTTTGTCTGTCCAATGATCAATATATATATATATATATATATATATATATATATATATATATATGTGTGTGTGTGTGTGTGTGTGTGTCATGAACAATAAAAATATTAAAAAATATATATAATATATATACAATTGCTGTCGTGTTTCAACACATAACGATGATTCAACAATTTACAATATCCTGAGGAGACGTATTGTTATATGTTGAAATACGACTGCTATTGTGTAGCGATTCTTATATGCTTTTTGTAATATCCTAAAATAATAATAATAATATATATATATATATTATGCTAAAATATATAATATATATATATATATATATATATATATATATATGGTCAGTAACTTTTCTTTTAAACATCTTTCATTGAATATGACAGACAAGGAAAATTTTTAATTAATTATTTGTTTATTTTTTAAAACCAGTTTTACTTTTTATTAGTTTGCTGGGGGTAAAAATATTGCAAAAATTGTTCGTATTGTCCTTTGTCCCAAGGGCTTCCGTTCACTACTTTAGCCTTTTTCAAGGGTGGAGTGGGTGGTGGTGATTGGGGTGTGGTCAATTTCTTTTCATGTTTATTTTACATGCGCTTTTGTATTGTTTTGGAAACTAGTAGAAGCGTTTATTCCGAGCCTTCGCGTGTTGAGCGCGGCTAGAATTCGAGTGTGCGTCGTTAGATTTTTTTTTAAACTTTCAACCGATTGTTAAATAAGGTGAGGTTGATAGTGGGAGTGAGATGTTTCCGGTAATGTGATTTATATAGAACTTTAGTGTTTACGACCAGAATTTTCCTTGTGATTTCTTAAAGAAAATCTAAATTTCTATTCATCCCCAGAACTAGATTTATACTTTTCTCAAAGGATTTTGCGCGTAAGTGAATATAACAAACCCAATTGGAATTGGAACTCCGCAATCCGATTAAGAATTCCGAGCCATTATCCATTACACCACCCGCACATTCTTGGACAATGTAGTAAAGGAAATCGGGATGAAGGACTAATCATTAGTTGTATGAAGACAGAATAAATGGTTGCCTCTAAGAATAAGATTCCATGAAGCAAACTAGAGATTCCAAAATCAAGTAAGGACACATATTTCAATATCTGAGGTATTAGATCCAGTGACAGAACCCAAAGAGTTGCGAGTTCAATACCTGGTGAAGGCGGTGGAGAACTTTGAAAGGGAAATTAACAGGAGATAACTGACATCCATTAGACATGGCACGTGGAACTAGAACAGTCTACCCTAGTGAGCGAAATAAAGGGTTCAGCTCGAGATTCCAAACACCTGAAGAAGGCCGGAGCGTACAACGGCCGAAACGTTGCGATATACATGGCGACAAAGATGAAGACAATAGTCCGAATAATGTAAATAGTGTACATAATACCTCATCTCAGATATATAGATCTGAGAAGGGTTTACACAGAAGACAAAGAATGTGACTCCGAAGTCCGAAGATGCATTTTAATAGCGAAAGATGCCTTCCAAAAGCTAAGCAAAGTATTAAGAAACAGTGTAGTTTCGTTAGGAAAAAGAAAAAGAAAAGACTAGTGAACTATTATGTAATATTGGTCATCCTATATTTTATTTAAATCCAAAGCAGTATTAGCAATAATAATTGTCCTGATCTGGCATCTCGGTTTCAGTCACTTTCCCACCGCCGTAAGGTTGCCTCCCTTTGCCTTTTCTATGAATACTTTCATGGTAATTGTTTAGATGTGCTCTTCGCTATGGCAGCTAAACTTTTTTGAATTTGAGGGCAGTACTGGCCTAGAGTCGAGATCTCATCAATTTACATTTAAGTTGGCTAGATGTAGCCGTGAATTCTATGCTAACAGTTTATTTTCTCGCACTTCTCGCTTGCGGAGCTCCCGTCATGCAATTGCTTGATTTTGGTGTTACTAATTCGTACTTGGGAACTTGGGCTGTTCCATTTGCTGACAACAAAATACAGTGGATCCTCGGTTCACGAATTTAATTCGTTCCTGATCCCCGTTCGTAACCCGAAATATTCATAAACCGAAACTATTTTTCCAATAGGAATCAATTTAAAAATGGATTATTCCGTTCCTGGTCCCAAGATGATTGCTAATTTAAACTTTTACAACAGTACTTTGTACGCGTTTTTATAGATAAAACTAATGAAAATCACTAAATCTAGGAAATAAATAAATAAACCCAATATTAAACGGATAAAATATAGAGGGACATTTTAATGTTACCGTACCTGTAAGTGGGAGAGATGATGGCGTCAGTGGAAGGGGAAGGAAAGAGATGTTATTGTTTGGAAAAGGGAAGGAAAGACATGATCGTTTCTTTATTCCTTATAGTATAGATCGTTGGTTTTGCCATATGAAACTGAGTAGGAAGAGACAATATCATCAACAATTGTTTTTCTCTTAACTTTTCTTTTACCATTACCAGTGTCACTGCTATCTTTCTTTGGCGCCATGATTCAGGACTAATGAAGAGAGAGAAAAAAAAGGCACAGTACAATAAAATTGGAAAAGAAAAGCACAGCACAACACACGAATCTATACAAAATGGCTGTCGACTAAAAAATGGGTTAATTCTATTTGGCGCGGTTTGGCAATGTTCGAGAAACAAAATTTTGTTTGATAACCAAGGCATTTTCATCTCGAATATTCTGTTCGACATGTTAAACGTTCGAGAACTGAAGTTGCTCTGTATTCTATCTTTCTACAATTGATGTTTAGTCCTTCTTTCTTGCTTTCTTTATGCCTATCGATAATATCGATTTACTTACAATTCCCAAATATTGTCATATTCATCTGAAGATGATCAAAGTTCAAAGGAAATGAAGCCAGATTTGCAAGTAGCATTAACTCATTTAATAATGAAGATCTTGCACAGGTCTAGAGGCTTAATTTGATTCTAACGCAATTTATTTCCGCAAAAATAATTTATCGACAGATTTACTGAGATTAAGGCTACGCGAATCTCACGAGAGCGATCCAGTCATTACTGTGGATAGAAGATTAACATATGGAATAATCTCTTGGTGCTGAAAATCTATCAAGGGAGGTAACTAATTTAAAGACTAGAAGAATCCCTTGATTATCAGTCCCAGCTTAATATATAATTTCT